CCCCTCTGCTTCGCCTGTGGCATATTCGCGTTCGCCCTGGTGGCCAGCGTCAACCTCAAGAGAATTACTACTAAACCACCCGAGCCTGCGGAGATGGTGGCTGAAACAACAGCAACAGCGGCAACAGCAGGAGCAGCGGCGGTGGTGGATAGTGCTGATACAGCTGTGCATAATAGTGCGACATCGATGTATGCGTATGAGCTGTTGTCGGGGCTGATAGATCCTCACAACGGAGACAACGGTACGGATCCTGCGCAGACTGTCACAGGTGTGTGTACCTGCAAGGAAGAGTCTGTAGTTAAAGAAGTTGTAAACAACTACATGTAGTCTTATGTAGTTTACAAATGCTCCATCTTGTGGGTGAACTTTGGTGCGGGCATGAATGTCAAACCGCTCTGCAACCACCGTCAAACGTGGTGCGTGGTGTTGTGAGGCGTGAGCGCGCATGTGTGGATAAGTCGGTATGGATATCCCGCCCGCTTAGGGTGTTGAGCTCTCTCTCCCATTTGGAACGCCGATCAGGGTAGTAGGGATCGGGCGGGATGCTTGCTTACGAACCGCAGCATCGCTGGAGAACAAGACCAGTTTTACGTGATCGCGGCTGCCGAAAGGCGCGTAGAAATTTTCAACGGATCAACCGCACAGCACAACAGCTTGTTGCAACAAGGCACTGCGGGAGCAGCAACATGAGGCCACAGCACTGCTGTGTGCAACCCAACCTGGTTGTGTGCATACCGCCAATACGGCACGTACCACATGTTGTGGACAGTGGACAGACGTGACGGGAACCAGTTTTTTTTTTCTTTGATCAGCGTGTTGTACAATCTACGTAAAACAGCTAAGGATCGGTCCCGGAGGGGACGTCTGACAAGAGCCAATACCCCTTCGACATACAATACAGCAGTAGAGGTCCCTGTTTAAGGCCACCTAATAGTTGTTGAGTAGCTTTGTGCGTGGGTTGCCTCGGCGCGGGGTCCCGTAGTGGGAAACAAAAGGTGCCAGCAGCTGGGTACTGCCAACGGTCAAAATGTAGAAACTATCCGCGGGCGTGAAAGCCCTTCTACGTGGTGGAGCGTGGAAGCTCGTGTATAATATAGTTGTGGCGTGGAAGCCGGGTTGGCGTGATAGCCGGAGTATGGGCGTGGAAGCCGGGGTTGGCGTGAGAGCCGGAAAAAGGACTTGATGATACACAGAAAAGGAAGTGAGGAACCACAAACCACGCACACAAATTCCGTTGTAGACACCCATACCCTCAAACCTGCAATATGTGATAAAGTTGGTACCACCAAATCTAATCCATAGCAACCATTGAACCCCCAAACTCCCCGCTCCATCTGCTCGGGAAATTCTTGCTCGCAATAATCTGTTGATGCTGTGAGTACATACAACAATAGTGTCAAGGGGAAAAACCGGCCTTATTGAGGAAATCACAAGAGTGCTAGGGTGTACCAGGCCAGCAGGGGTGCACATCACACAATCACAGTGAGTGAGTGCCACAGCGCCGCTTTGGATGTGCACCACCTGGCATTTACATAAAGTAATGTCAAACGCACCACACAAATACGTTCGCATGTTCCCACATGTCCTTGCCCGCCAGTATGTAGCTGATGCCCGCCAAATACAAATGCCATCAAGTATCTCCCCCTTCATGCTGTAACTGGTCAAAATTTCTCTTTCTTGGCTAACCAACCTATACGGCAGAAGGAAACGCAGAGAATGAGATAAAGTCCAAGCTTCCCCGTAAGCAATTTGTGAAGCAAATATTGAAGACGAGAAAGTACGGGACGGCAACGAAACCACAAAACGAAATAATAAAAGTGAAGGGTCGACAAAAATGCTGCATCCGCGCTGATCTTGATCAGATTGAGAGGACTTCCACAAGGAAAACCTCCAACGACCTACACACTCCAACATTTAAATTACATCTGTCGCAACGAGCACCAACTGAAATCTCTACCCGTCCAACGAAGAGGGCACACACAAGAAAACAAACAACACATCTACGCATGCGACGAGTCCACCGACCTCTACTGTACGCTAAAGGGTTGTAGATTGCTGCTGTGTTGTGGCTGCAAATGCGGCCGAACCTGCGTTCGTCACTTCAAAACCGGCCTTGTTCGGGGTGGGCGTAGGGTCCCGACATGCCTTAAAGAGGGACGTGCGGCCTTGAAAAGGAAGGCGATTTGTTCAGGCGATTCCACCAGCCTTAAACAGAGCAACCGGCCTTAAATTTGTGGCCTTAAACAGGGACCTCTACTGTACAGTACTTGTACAGCGGCTAAGCGCACAGTATGCATGTACGTCCGCGGGGGATGTGCTTACAGCAGTAGTTCTTTGCAGGCGGTGGGGGTGGAGTGAAACCTGCCGCCAAAGAGGGGTGCTGAGCGCGTTGGTTGCGTCTGTCTCCGTTCAAGTCCGGCCCAACCTCCCAGGCTGGTGAGGACAACCTCAGTGGTGCAAGCAAAGTAAACAGCCGGGAACAACTGCGGTGTACATCGTCACTTTGCGGTCTCCTGGTGTGCTTACTTCATCATGAAAGAAGGACCGTACGTGCCCAATTGAACTCATCTGTACCCCACCGCGAAAGCAGCCTAAACCTAAGCATTCTGTGGCCTACCTTGAAATGAGAGAATCAGGACGACGAGTCCTCCGCGTTACTATACTAATAGCTGTAGATAACGTGCATGCGACGGGGGGATGTAGTGTAACAGTTTTAGTAAATAGAGCTGCGGCCTACGGAGAAATAATGGTAGGTATGCTTACAAGCGAGACGCTTTGCCCACCGTTGGTGAATAATGCATACAGTACTTGGGAGTATTGTATGCACAATGAAAGAGTCGACTGGGCGAGCTCCGCCGGCCTGTTTTCGGCCTCCGTTTCGGCCCTCACATATATACAGCAGCCATCACCCAGCCGTTGGTCCTCGGCGAAATGGAGAAGTTTTCGTTTTTTACGTAAATATCCCGGAAGTGCGGATCGTAACCCCACCGCAAGCATCCGTTACACCGCCGCCGCCCACAGCAGTAGTCCGGCCGTCAACAGTTGGAGTGGTTGTTGTTCTTGCAGCTGACGTCGCAACCCACTGCCACCACCTTCCTCTGCCGGCCATGTACATGTAGTAAAGGCAAAGACGACAACGATACGGCGGTTGAGGCTTCTCCATGGGGGATAATAAGGTTAGCGACGAAACGGGTAGATGCAAGCGTCGAGAATCGGGCAAATGCATATCGAACCGGGTAAGCGCTCGGGCGCCCGCCCGCCCGCCCGCCTGCCCGCCCCGTGGGTAACTTCCCGGGTAGAGCAGCGTATCGTGGTGAGCCCGGCAGAAAGAGTGGCGCGATGAAAGCGCCGGGCGGGCTGGCTCGGAGCATGCGGCGGGCCTTTGTGGTGGAGGTTATGGGGTCGTGTTTCTGTTGCTGGTTGTCGTTGCGCGCCGGTTGACAAGGCACGCCTACGACGGGAGGCTGCTGATGCGACCCATCGCGTTGGAACCCTGTTTTCCGGTTGCTGGGCAACAGGGGAGGGCACGAAAGAAGTTTTGGCAGTGACCAACCAAAGCCCGAGGTTGTTTGCTTGTCGTGTGTAGCACCCGCATCGACTTCCGCCACATTTTGTGTTCAATTGGATAATTGACTGAGTTGCGAGGCGGTCGTTCCTATATCTCTCTCTCTCTCTCTCTCTCTCTCTCTCTCTCTCTGTGTCTTTCTATTTGTGTGTGTGTGTCGAAAACGCCCGAAAACGACTCTGGTTTGGGAGCCCCGCGCATGAGTATGAGAAAAAATGGGGTGTCCGCTCACTGTCTGTCGTCTCCGTGTGCTCCCCCGATAGGAGCAAGACTAGTCGCGCTTCGTGGACGCATGTGTATCCTTGACGCTCGTTTTGGTAAGTCTAGAGCAACGTACGAGAGTCCCGGGCGCAGCTGATGCAAGGTACCCACCAGGTTTCTTCTTCGCACTCTTTGTCCTGCTGCTTGCGAGTTAGCTGTCTTCGGGGGTAAGCCTTGGTTGAGGGCTTCGAGAAGTTCGAACTGATTGCGCGGAGTTGGGATTGTTGTTTGTTGGACTGGGTGCTCCGGAAGCTGCTTCTGCCCTTCGACCTCGTCCCGTGGCAATTTCTTCCGACCAGCGAGCATTCTCCCCACGACCATAAATCTTCGAAAGACACAACTGAGTGTATGTATGTATCTTGGTTGAACTCTCGCGCCAATATTCAAGCTTTACACCTTCAGCAGAGGGTCGCTTCCACTTCCGACAGCGGTTCTCCGCCCCCGCACAAACACTCATGATGTGACCCTCTCCCTCTCCTATGCCCTTCGATTGTTTCGGACGAGCAGCTAACCAACCAACCACCCCGGATACCGCCTCTATCTTTGTTTGCTCAGCGGAATGCGCAGGGCAGTTCGACCTGCCCGTTCTGGGTGGCGTGGACGTCGTGGAGTATTGGAGATTACCGTCTGCAGCGGAACCAGTCTTGGGGAGTCCGAATCTGATGTCGGTGTTCGGAAACTACCGGTTCTTCTTTTCGTCGGTCGAAAACCTCCGGGTGTTTGAGGCAAGAGGTTTTTCGCTTCGTTGAGCAGGGTTTTAGGATTTTGCGGATTTTTCATGTTGGAAGTATATCACAGTATCACCCCGCACCCTCCCTCTTCTCGCTCCTTCTTAGACGCTGGCCACGACAAACGTGGTGAGCATCTGGGTTTTGTTGGCTTGCCCTGTGGCGTGTGTATCCCGTTCGGATCAAACGGACGTTCCTTGCTTCGAAAATAGGGGTCCTGGATGTAGCTGCTCTCTTGCTGCTCTGCCACCACATTTTCTGGTGATTTTCCGCACCCCCCGCTCTCGGTGGTACGTGCGTCGCTGCACGGTCTTTTTTGTCATATCCTACGTACGACGGCACTGGCGCGCATGGAAGGTCTACACAATCAATCGTGGTGCTTCAGTACATACCGTAACTTTCTTGCTGCATACTATTATATCGTTTCTTACAAACGTCAGCTGGTGATGCTTACACCCCGCCCCCGCCCCCCCCCCATCAATCGCACCCTCCGTTTCTCTCAGCATGACAAGCTCAAGTACGTCCCAGCCTGGGGAGGCTTTTGCTCTTACGGTAAGCTCTAGGGTGCGGGGGCTTGCTCAAACACGCCTAACGTTGCTGTGTTCAGGGAGAAGAAGGGCAGCATACGTACATGTACGGTAGCGCACGCTGGAAGCCAGCAGCCCAAGGCAGCAGTGCAGTGGACAGGCAAGAAGGAAACGCGCCAACTCGTAGATACGACACGAGGCTGTCGTCTAACAAAGAAATTGCAGCAGACCCCGTGGATGGTAGGAATTATTTTTTCCGTTGCGCATCCCTAACATGGCTTATTGCACGCTACGTCTCTGCTGGGACACAGGTAAATCTCCCGTGTGAGTGCCATGCGCCTTTTTCGTCACACCTTGGTAAATAAATGCCTTGCCACGCAATCAATGACATGGGTCCTGTTTTTGTGTGCCTGTCATGAACAAACGGTCGTGCCTCGATGTTCCAGGCATCGCGAACGAGTCAGTTTGGACGTCCACTACCCTAGGGCCTTTTGGGAATCCCTCGAAATGGGGAATATATGGCGGCCGCCTACACATCTTCCGAAGGTAACTGGGCCTTTGGGGCGTAACCTGTATCAGTATCATATGCCATGTAGTAGTAGTGAGCTATATGAGAACGCACTGGGACGTACAACAAGGTCCGCCCACTGGGGGTGTCGAGTTAGCGAGCGGGGTGCGTGAAAAAACAGGGAGAGAAGTGGTTGTTTTACTCCTATCGCCCCGGTACGTGAATTCCACACGTTGGTATACATCTACTGTATGACAAAGGTTCGAAAAGGAAGTACTTGGTATTCACAGCACCATCACCCGCACGGTGGTTTAGGCCGTATACCCTTCTCTCGCGTTTTTTTTTTTTTTCGTTTCCGCGTTGTTAGGTACTTGCCGTGCCCTTCGCGCTGTACAGACCACTTACCCTCGCTCCCATGTCCTGTTTTTTTGTTTGCTGCTGCTACGTCGCCCGTTGCAGTTCCACGCCGAAGGAAGAGTTCGAGGAGGATATTCCGGGCAACCTCGATCGGGGCAACGCCGTGTGGGAAGGGTGGTTCGGGGGTATGGAAGAGAGCCTTATGGTGCCTCCGATCAACACGGCCTGTTTCTGCAATGACCATATTTGCGACGACCAGTAGAACTACAGTAGCTGCGAAGGAGTTTGATTGATACACTGCTTCGATTTCGAAGGCCGAAGCCGAAACGAAGTGACCTGTACGTTTGTGCAGCAGGCGGAGGAGTGCGACACGCTGGCTCTTGCTACAAGTGGTGGTGGTGGTGGCGATGCCCGATGGCGGGAAGCGGTAGATGATGCTGTAATGCTGTATGTGGTGCGAAGCGAGTCCCTCCTGCCGTCTGCGGCTGCTATTTTTTCTGAGGTTTCCTCCTGCTGCATCTCTCTTGCACAGATTTTTTTTTTTACCCCGATAACCTACGGAGCTATGCATACAAGCCAACATTGATAGAACAGCGACGGAGGAAAGGAAGGGAGACACTGGCTTCTTCGACGGCCGTGATATGCATGGCCCGGCCGTTTCTCAGGATTTGTAGAATAACTTGTCCGGGATTTGGACGAGATGGAGCCCGATTTGTTTTCCCGCTCTTGTAGCTGGCCTTTCGGAGTGTTAGAATCGAGTTTCATGCCGGATCCTCAAATTTCGCGGACTGCTTTTGCTCGCCGTCCAGTTGCTGCTGAGGTGATGTGGGTTTCTAGTCGATAGGAAGGCGGCGAAAAGTAGGTCGCGCCGGCACGCGGTGGGTGTGCCTGGGGTTGATGTACCCCGCGATTTCTCCGGTCATTTGTCCTCGCGTTACATCTTGTTGTATTTTGATTTGAGTGCTGAACCCTTGTCTTGTAATTAGTGTTGTCCTCTTTGTATTTTCACACGTTCATGCGCTCCTTTTAGCGCTACATATTGTATTGTTGTGTTTGATTTTGAGGGTCGAATCGTCTTGTCTTGTGGAGGAGATCGATATTCCCCTTGTTATTTTCATACGTGCATGCTTGGTCAATTTGTCTTGGCGCTACAAATTACTTTGTCGTGCTGAGTAGAGCGTTGAACCCGTCTTTGGAACAGATAGATTTGATTGCCTCTGTTTCTTTTCGCAGGTTCAATGTGTTGTGCCGTTGGTTGAGCTGTCGTCCTGCTTGTTGTTTGTCTTTGCATCTGAAAAGTCCCCACCCTTTCGGACACCGGTAATTTTTCGCTTGCAAATACACTTGTAACTACATAGCTCTGCTCTTGCTCCAGCGGATGGCAGCATCGATTGTTTTTCGGGTTGTCGGTGGGTGCTGTGCTGGCGGGCGCGTGTGGAACTACTGTAAGTTGGAGTGTCCACAAACTTTACCACACGGCGTCGTGTTGAACGTTGTGACGCCTTTTGAGCAAGGGAAGCCCGCGGGTTACTGGGATCCCTTGTGGATAGTTTCGAGCATGAGATAGCTCTTAGGTTAGTGGCGTGGTGGCCCTGCGGTGGTTTTACCCTTCTATATGCACGAGTACTCTTGTTCGAGACCAATTAGCTAGGTGCAGATACGGGGGGGGGGGGGGGGGCTATACGCGGGCGGTCTAAATCGACTGATTGTAGCCTGTGGTCACGCTCCTTTTCTGCCAAGGTGCGCGAATTGGTACCATGTGTATGATGAACACGGGAAGGGGGTTCGCAGAAGGACGTAGCAGGTGGTGGCGGTGGTCTCTGCCAACCTTGGCTTCATTCGGCTAAATAAACTTTTGTACCAATTGGGAAACCCGCGGTTTGGTGGTGCGTCCAATATGCCTTGGGACATCGGGACATTGGGACGCCGCCCAGAGGACAATGTGCCGCAGTGCACTGCCGGACGTGGGTGTGTCCATCCTTCCCTGCAGCAGGAAATGATTTGCAGTATCACATGCATAGTACCGACAAAAAGAGTGTGTGCGCCACAGAGTGGGTCTTGGGTCTTGGCAAGACAAAGAAGGAAAAGTTTGCACTTGTACAGCAGTATCTGTGTCTTGACGTGATGGCTTCCCCACTCAAATTTGACGGGAAAAATCACAATCAGTCACCACCAGCAAAGAAACCGGTATGGTCTCTTGGGACGACTTGTTGTACATACATATGCACTCTTGTCTGGGCGATTGGTTGGTTGGGTGACGTACTTCCCTCCAACCAAGATGCATTCATTCGCAGATCGTCGGTAGGTGGCAGCAACACAGAAAGTGGATGGCGTATCTCAATCCACAGGAGGAGGAGTGAGTTTGAAAGGCGTTGCCAAAACTGATGATGCGAAAGCAGCCAGAACATCCCCTGCTCGTTGGGTTGTCAATCATATAACCAAGCTGACACCGGGCACTGAATGTGAGAGTTGCTCTTCATCCGCTTGGGGCTTCTGCTTTATAGAATGTACTCGTGTGTGATCGTTTCGGCCCCCTTCGCATGATGGCATGTTGTAGCTGCTTCCATCATCATCATATATATCGTCCTCCTTCCGTGTGTTCACGACTCTCTGTCTCTCTCTTCCTCCTTCGCAGGTGTTTCTACCACAACTTTTTTTCTCGTTATGTATCTGCGCACGTTTCTTGAACTGATTTATTGTGTCCAGAGCGTGTCATCCTTCTCTGTTCGTATGTACTGCTGTACAATACAACTTGTAGTAAACGGACAGTAACGACGGCGGCTGGTTTCGAAACCAGCCGCGGATGAAAATCACGGTCCATCCAGCCTCGGATTCAGAGTGAGTGATTGCCTGCTGTGCAAGACAAGACGACACAACGCCACTACCTGTTGTTGTAGTCTAAGTACTCCTCGTGGCGATGTGTACTAAAGCTGTACTAGTACCGCTGTAACATTATTTCCCCGATGTCGTTGGGGTTGGGGGTTAGGGCGCCCACGACCGACGGTGGGGGGGTAAAGACAGGTCTTCGGGGGATGCCTGTTATTATTACAGACAGTAGTAGGCTAGGTTATTTTCTCCGGGCGAAGAGAAATGCACGTGCCTGTGTAAGGAGTATATAATACCCGAATCCACAACATCATCATCGTCCATCCTGTGGTCTTATCTCGAATGGGTATTGTAGTCTTTCTGTGTTTGTATTTCTGTTTCCTAACATCATCACGCGTAGATGTACCACAGACCCACCAAAGACTGCAGGCCACTATTTCGGCACAGCCTTATCCCTTCGACCCCGCGTCAGGAAGGTTTTGTTTTTCTGCCGTCTGTGTGTAGGATTGTGTGTTTATGTGTACCTTTGGCGAGAGCAGCAGCGTGTGGAGGAGACGTATCCGAGACGCCTGCCTCATGTGTCACGTGCTGTCAACGAGTCAACGATGATATGTTGGTTCGAGATGCTCCCGAAACGTCAACAACGCCCCCGCTATTCCGCTATTCCACCGCTTGCACCGCCGAAAGGAGGCCGGGCTTGCACGCATTCCGGCTATACCCCGGGCACCCGTTTTTGTGCACAGCAGAGAGCTCCAAATTCGCGCTTTTTCTCCACACAACAACCTCCGCGTCATGGCAGCCGACGAACGAATGCCGCTGGTGGGGCCTGACGGCGCGGCGAAGGTAGCAGCGCCTCTACACCCTAACTCAAGGCCAATAAGCCTTCGAGGCGGTGTCACGGTGCTTGTCGGAGCCACCTTGCTGTTCGTGGCGGCCTTGGCAAGCGCGCGTGCATTCCCACGCGGCGTCAAGGGACGGGCATCGCCGCCTTCTCCGTACAAGGGGTTGGATGTCGACGAGAGCTCGGTGGAGGGGGCGGGGTTGAGGTTGGATGAGATTGACGGGACGACCTTGGCTCCAGGTGCGGTGATCGTGGACAAAACTCAACTTGCTTCCAACTGCTTGCTTCAAATGTCTGATGTCTGTTGTACAAGCAGCATATGTTGGACGGGGTAGTAGTAGTCCACCAGTTAAAAGACCACCCGTACCCATCTACAGGCATGCCACCATACCTGCCGTCCACGGCAATCCCGCCTGCCTCCCTCTGTCGTGTTCAGCATCACAACTGCTCTCTTTCGGCCGCCCAGTCCTCTGCACTGCTTTAGAGCACTATTTCTCGGAATCATCATCTATACAACTTCTCCCCGATGACTTATCTTCCTATTGTATGTACTCCCCAAACCCAAAAACAATTAATTAAATCAAACACCCCTATACAATTAATATTTATATTTGTTTACTGATGGCGTGAAGGGCTTTTTTTTCTTCATATGCGTATGTACTCACGGGGAACGGCGCTCAAAAAGTTGTCCCTTGTATTTAGTGGTATAGATTCTGGTACGTACAACCAACAGAGGGTTAATAGATTCTGGTACGTACAACCAACAGAGGGTTACGCAGGTTCCCCGCAGTTGTGCATGAAGAAGTTCGTGTGCCCGTCGCCTGTTGCAGTAACACGGGATGCGTTTCGACAAGCGTGACAGAGCACTCGGTCACCTTTCAGCAACCTTCCGGGAATCTGCTGGGCGATACACGCCCCTACATGTATTAGTTTCATCCCACAAGGAATGTCGTAGAAGAAATAGAGGCAGGCACATGCGCCGAGCCGCGGAAGGTACCCCATATGCAACTCTTTTATCTTTATCTTGCAGCCCCCGTATGGTAATCTGCTGCGTCCGCGCCCCTTTGTCTGCATATGCTGTTGTCTCTCGCTCGTTTGTTTCCGTCATGCTGCTGTGCCCTTCCACGCACCGACGCTGGCGGTGTGGTGCAGTTCACGTAACGACCGCGGAGTGCACTGGGGACACGAGCAAACCGGCGGTGGAAGGGTTCGATCTTGTGGCGTATCGATCCCTCCAACCCGGCACGCACGGGGTCCGCGGCTTGTGGGAGTTTTCGGTACAGTACGGCCAAGGATATACTTTCCTGTTTTCTACACTCGAAAACAAGCTAGAATTTGAGGTGGGTCTGTCAAATATTGACCACAAGTGTCGTGGTTGGTGTTGCACGGTATGTGAACAGGGAGTGCCTGCGACCTTGTGCGATCGTGAAGGATGGCTCGTCTGCATGTAATGTGTTTTGTTTCTTCGAGACAAGTCGCGAAAACACGGAACAGTTTTCAATCGAACGATGACATACCAGTTCAAGATATCTTACCGAGGTGTCGCGCTTATTTTTTCCCGATCAAGAACACAAGTACGGGTCAGCTGCTGCGGGTGCACAACATAAGAAGCTGTTTGGTTAAAAGGATGATACGACTTGATATTTATTCCCTGCTTTCCAATCGTGTTGCAAGTGGCCTAGACCGAGAACCGCTGGGTTCATCCTAGTCGTCTATTTTCTCGCCGTCGCCCGCGCTTTCTACCTTCCCTGACGGTATATATCTCTCTCAACAACCGCGCGTCCGGCATGCTTGATGCAGTCTTCATTCAGCCGACCATCACGCCTATTTATCCTAATGTTGAACTTTGGATTGTTTTGCACTACATACCGTAGCAGACTTTCCGTGCTTTCTTCTGATATCCCTCCCACCTTTTTCCCTCGGCAAAGTAGGAGTGAATGGTGAGGCCATCGGTGATCGGTCCTGTGGGAACAATGCTCCGTCCTGTCGAGGACAAATGGTCAATGATCTCACCCGCTACGGCATCCAAAATTATGAGAGTACGCCCCCCACCCACCCTCCTTCGCGTGTTTGTGTGCAGAGCGATCCAGAGAGATATCTCCCCGCTTGGGGCGGCTTCTGCGGCTTCGGAATCAGCCACGAAGTTGTTTGGGGTCCCGACGTCCTCGGGCCACCTTCCAACCCCGATTTCTGGTTGATCGAGGATGATCGGCTGTACCTGTTCCGAAGGTAGTGCTTGCTTGGTTCTCTTGGTCGTGTTCTTGTGTTTGTTCTGGTTCGATAGGATGATGGCTGTTCCTGTGTTTGCAAGCGCGCGTGTGTATGAGAGGGCTTTTTTTTATTTGCATCGATCTCGCCAGACCAATTGGATTGCACGGCTTGAGAAATGGCAGGCCGCGTGGCCCACCGGCAGGGGGGGGGGGTGCGGGCGGATGAGACTGGACGTGGGGGTGCAGCCTCGGGGTTACGGAGCACCCACCACATACAATACGTCATCGCTACAATGACGAGTGTTTTTGACTCCTCGTGGTAATCGGGCATCCGAAAGCTAGCGGCTGAGTCCAACGGGGACCAAAGACCCAAACAATGCCTCGTCGCTGGTTGTGTGTAAGTAGGTGTGGGTGGAAGCCTTTCTTGTACGCGTGTTTTTTCGCTACGCTACAGCTCTCTCTTTTGTCTACTTGACCCCGTATAGATGCTCCACCCCAGCTACTACTGCTGCCCGCAATGCGTTGAAGCACACCATGCTTGGTTCGGTGGTGGCCAAGGGCCTTTGATTCCGTACCCGCGTTCTCCACCCAACCCGTCTCTCTTTGTCGTTTGTCGTTGTCATACGACTGCCCGTCCCAAAGCGAAACACCATATGGAAAGTTCATGGACAACAAGGCGCGGTGCATCAAGCACGGGAACCAAATGTGGACAGAATGGTTCGCGGGGAACCCGTCCAATGAGGGAACGGTGATGACCCCCTTCAACACCGCCTGCTTCTGCAGCGAAGAAACATGCGCGGATGGGTGACAAGACCAAACGAGTTTTAGATGAGGGAAAAGCCTACCCTCCTTTTTTTTCTTGAAGTCCTCGCTCAACGTGTACCGTTCGATTCGTTAGATGGGCATCATTGCTAGCCGAACATGTGGCGGAGATTTGCGGGGACCGGAAGCAAATGATTGAGCGCGTCGGTTTGACACCTCGACGTTTGTATCGGTTCATATTTACCAGTCGTGACAGTAGTTTCGGTGCATGTGTCCGTCCGTGCACCCGCTTGTTAGTTTTTATCCCTTCATGTTTCTTGCATTGTCGTGACCACCTTTTTTCCTTGCACTCACCCTTCGTTGTCGATTCACGTTTCACTTGCCGTGCTTGTTTTAGGCCCCTCATATTAGTGGGCGTTTTTTTGTTTGGGTGGTGAAGGTATTGTGTTTGATTGGTACGGTGGTGTGCATCACCTCAGTGCCTAGCCTGGGGGTGCGCTTTATCTCTTGTGCCGGTGCGGACCAGCAAGTGCAATGGCACTTGACACTGCTGTGGCTTTGGGTGGAGGTTGTTGAGTCTTGGTGCATGACCTGCGGTTCGATTTGGTGGTCTGTCGAAAAAGCGAGCAGCAAAGTTCGCTCGGAAGTGATTTTGATTGCTGTGTCTTGAAGGGGGTTATGTTGTACATGTTTTCACTTATTTTTGATGTTATGCTCACTCTGTTTTCGCACACATACGTGCGTGCGAGGAAGCGACAAAGGTACCACCTGCTGCTGCCGTCAGGAAGCGGAACCTGACGCTGTTGGTGCGTATGGTAGAAGTAAATGCTGTTAGCAGACGTTGCGTGTCTTGGAGGAATTTCACCAAGTCTACGGGGGGGTGATTTGACAACACAACGAGTGTTGTAGATGAAATCTGATTCTTAGAAGCTCATGGAGGTTTTCTGCTTCAGCTTGACAACATAGACTGGAGTTTCGTGAGCGTTACAGAAAATCAGTCTCACTTTTGCTCACAAAGAACCTAGCCGTTTTCAGCCGGGGATTTTATTTTTTTTCAGTCGGGGAAAAACAAAAACAAGCCAGCAAGTTCCCCCCTTCGTGACGGATTTCTCTACACAGCTCGGGCTCTGTCCCACAGGGGAGGAAATGCTCTTTACATACGCTTACTTACCATGTGCCGCAAGGCTGAAAGAGATTGTTGTTCTATTGAAACAAAGAGGGGTGGGTGCACGCAACCGCTGTTTCTTCGACGGCTGGGCGCGACATTCCGAGGCGGTTCACTCTTCCCGAGAACACACACACGTAGACGCGCAAGAGGGTCTCTAGCTCAACTACTGTAACAACGAAAAAAAATTACAAATACCAGTGTGACTCTTTCTTCGGGGGAAGATTCGTTGTGTTCAAGAAAAAAAAAAGCTGACCTGGCGGGGTCGCGAACGAGTTGGTCTCTCGGTCCTTTTCTTTGGGTCCTTGCTACCATCCTGTGATATTCGGGCTCCACCCTCTTGTGCATGTAGCCTTAAGTTTCTGAACGACCGTTGCGGCAGCCGGTGCAGTCGAGAGAACAGGTTGCAGCCACAAAAAACTAGACACGTTTGTTTCCCGAACTAAAGAGGTCCATCGAGAGCGTTCGAGAGGGGTAACGTTTGTCCAAACGCGTCTGGACCAAACGAAAACCACGCACATCTGGTACTATGGTCTTGCCTGTCCCCTTTTTCTCTTGCTTGCCCCAGGGCAAGTGATCGTGCGTAGGGTAGTATGTGCTCCCGTTACAGAGCATCTTTTGCTTGCTTGGTATGGGAAAATGCGTGACACACCACCTCTGACCACGGTTTCGGAGGTTATCAAGCTACATATATGTACGGAAGAGGTGTTGAATCGCAAAAGGAGATCGCAAGACAAAATTGTGGTTGACGGCGGGGTCGCCCGAAGCGTTTGAGCGTCACCAGTGCTTAGAGGACACACGTCACCAAAGCTATGTGGACTACGGCAATAAATACTACTGCTGTACCCCAAAACCTTTGCAAGTTTCCAGAAGCTGTGCTACCTCAGCATGAAACGCTACCTCATTCCGGGCAAAATCGTGCCAATAAGAGAGAGCCACACGCCCTCGGCGCCATGCCCACACCAGGGTCACGATCCAACAAGCCGTACATGGTGGCAAAATTGGGCAACTCACGCATCACCAAAACGCCGCCCCCTTCGCAACAGCAACATCATCCTTCGCAACAGCAACATCAACATCCTACAGCATCGCACATACTACAGAGACGGCGCCAACGTACGGCGTCAACACACAAACGTTCCTCCTGCCGTGTGTACCCGAACTTGCGACAAAACAAGCTGTAGGCTGTTCGACGTGTTAAGCCTCTGTCCGCCAACGGTATACGAGTGCCGCCGGTCTGGTCGTCTACCACGACCAACAACCGACGTCACTCACTCACCGCGCTCCGCCCGAGCCAGTACCGTACCGTGCAAAGGGCACAAGCCGGGGAGGACTTACAACAAAGGGAAGAGGGATAACACATTGATGAACAACCTTCTCGGGTGTTTGGGGGGGGGGGGGGGGGGGGGGGGGGGGGGGGGGGGAACTTCCTTTTTGTGTTTTTCCCC